CCTCTTTCTCCTGCACCTGCCAGCACCTTTTCTCACCCTGGTGTCGAAGGATCCTCTTGCGGAGTATGCTGCTCTAGCTGGGGAGCGGCTGGAGCTTCCCCGGCACGGGTGCGCTGGCCTCCACTGCACCTGGCACGAGTCCACAGTGATTCAGATCCTTGTTCAAGGCTGTTCTCCTCTGTGACACCCAGATTCTGTCTTCTTTTCGCCAAATTGACTGTAATGTGAGTAGACACGGTCATCTTCACATTTCCCCTGATTGGGTTTGGGTGGAGTTGTTGAATGTGCGAATTCACATCAATCACCAAGTGCAGGACTCTCTGAGCCGGCTTTTGGAGATGCTCTATCTGCCTTGTCCTCTCTTCCCTTCTCAGGACTGAAGCTTCAAGACTGACATTGTCCCTGGTCCCCAGGAGCCCTCATTCTCTTCACATTTTTCCTCTGTACCCTTCAGATCAGATGGCTGTTTTATTTCTTCAACTGTGCTCACATATTAAGCCCATACAACAGCTTTTTAAAGATACTATATTTTGCAGCTACCAGATTTTCCGTGGTTCTGGAGTGCATCCCCATGTCTCCTGAGATGTCCTGTGCTGTCACAGGACGTGTCTTCAGTCAGGGCATGTTCCCCTGCCCTGGCTGAGTGCAGGCAGAACAGACTCTCTGACATCCTCATCTAGTAATGACAACATCCGGGTCCTTTCCCTTGACTGCAGGCCACTTTTCCTAACTCTTCATACATCAAGTGGGATGCACTTTGGAAGTGGAGAACGTTCTGCTGTGGGGTCGTGGATTTTGACCTGTAGTGGGATCTTTTTCACTCTTTCACCCTTTCCTACTCAGGGTTTAGCAAGCTTGGTGTAGGGTCAGTGACCCAGGCACAGTTTACAAGCCCTGGGCTTCAGCTTCTCGGCTCCCCCTGCTTGGGATCCACTTTCTCTTTCCAATGGCCAAGACACTGTTTTCCATTTTTGGTCCTCCAGACCACAGAGATGTCTGAGATTCACCTGCTCTGGCATGAAGGGTCTGGACCTGCCACCTTCCCACTGACCTGGGTGGGGGTGGGGGTACAGCGGGCACCAAGACTCCAGGACTGGCATGCTGCCCCACTTGGCAGTGCTCCTGTTGGACTCAGGGAGAGGTCAAAGGTACATTCCTTCCACCCCTGCAGGAAATCACTGAGCTACTCAGCCAGCAGGAGACAGTGATGAAGCATGTCCTGACAGCACACTGCTTGTGTCCCTCAGGCTGGAGGGCAGCACACCCTGGCCCAGGTGAAGACTTCCAGTGAGTACTTATGCCAGGCAGCACCTGAACCTGGCCAGCGAGGGACTATACAGCCAGGACGGTGGCACTCTGCTCCAGGGAGAGCCCCCTCTGCACTGGCTCACCCCTGTTCCTTTTGATAGGTTTGCCTAAGGACAGCTGGCAGTTTCTGGGGACCCTCGAGGGAAACAAGTTTGTCATCAAGTGGGATGTACTTTGGAAGTGCACTAGTCCTGCCTGATGCTTCCTGGAAGCTGCATTCACACTTCAGCTCCCAGGAGCCAGTCCAGTCAGCTGTCCCACCAAGGCTGACAGGGATATCACCAACAGCATGTTCTCCCAGGGCCTGAGAGCTCATGTGACCACCTGATCAGCCCAGCCCTAAAGGCTGCCTTTTCTCTGGACTGTGCAACCAAGTGGAGATGGATCCATTTTATCTTTCAAGGCTGGTTCTCACCTTGAATGAGATCTGCAGCAGCTGGAGAGTCTTCGGGACCTGAGGATGCCAGAGGAGGGGCACCCAGGTCACATCCTCAGGGCAGGCAGGAGCAGGGGACCCTCCTCCCTTCATCGGTGTCCTGGGGGCAAGGCCTAACTTCCATTTGCAATGTAGTCGAGCCGGGATCTAGGTGCCCAGCTGTTATGTAAGAAGAAGCTGTTATGAGAAACATGCTGCGTGGCTCCAGAGCTCAGCTACTTCCACTTCACTTGTGAATGTGGAATTTTCTCCTGAGCAGGTGCTATGGTTGTTTGAAAGAGAACTAGGGAAGCTGGACAGCCCCTTGCAGCTATCCTCCTAGAAGACATGGGGCAGTGGGGTGGGGAGTAGCAGGCCTTGTGTGCCTTGTGAGGGCCCAGACCAACCCCGGCTGTATTAATGCACTATTATTGGACTCAGGGAGAGGTCACAGGTACATCCCTTTGACTACCAGTCCAAGGGCCCCGGCTGTATGAATGCACTATTCTTTGGCTACAGCAGAACTGGCACACAGGATGAGGGCTGGAGCACACACAGGGTGCAAAGAAACAGCCCGGGGCTTTGGAAGGCGTTTGAGTGCTGCTGTTGGCCCGGTTGAATGGAGAGCTGACCTAGTGGCCTGTCTGTCTCAGTCCATCAGTCGATAAGAGGCCAGTGGGGTTGACCATGCCTTCCTGGAGACCTTGTTTCTTGGTGCTGCGGACACTCGTCAAGAGCCTTACCCTTCAGGTCTGAACAGGATGGCCAGCCAGCCAGGTTGGAGCCCTAGGCCCAGGTGGAGAAGGCCCTCCATAGACCCTGAGGGTTTGATTTCTGTGCCAGAGGGACCAGCCTGGAGGACACATCTGTGAGCTCAGGTATTAGGGTCTGTAAACAAGTCTGGATGGCGCCTGGCAAAATGCCAGAGGGAGTGGTTTGTGAAGTAACGCCAGCGAGCCATTAAGTGTGGAGATTCCTGATTGGTTGACTGATGTATCTAGTTTATGCTAATTAAGATAAGCTGTGTGGAATGTATAAATACCGCTCCTGTCCTACAATAAACGGCTCCCTCTCCTGCTGTATCAACGTACACAAGTTGTTTGTCACCTCCCGGCTAGTTTGCTGCAGCCGGACTGCGGCACTCAGGTATAAAATTTCACCTGCTGCCAGAGACCCCCAAACCACATCTGCAGCATAGCACCCTGCTACAAACTTGTGCAGCCACAGAGGGCCCAGGAAAGATACTGTCTCTGTCCTCACGGAGCTCTTGTGCCCCTCAGGGAAGAGGCTGAGTGGGACAGGGTGCATGCTCACTGCATAGTAGAGCTCCTCTTCAGAGCACACTCTTCTGCTTTACAACTAAGGCCGCTCTGCTTTGATCCTCACCTGAAGGTTTGAGACAGACATGTGGCCGGCTCCCCTCTCCGCTTCCTTCCTGATCATGTTCTTAGAGTCCTTCTGGTCTCACTTCCCAGGGAAAACAAGCTTTCCTGGGCACTGAGCAGTGCTTACCCCACCAGACAGTCCTGCCATGTGCTCAATCACCTCCAGATCACTCATGCCTGACAAAGAAGATGACCCCAAGGAGTCAGCATGTGCTCAGTAGAGAAGCAGTGTCCAAGTATTTTCCATCCTTGTTTGGTTAAATCACTGGATTTGGAAACAGTGATTATGAAGGGCTGACATTACTGCAAAATTCTTCAAAATTTTAAAGAATGTTTTATTAATCAAAAAAAAAATGCTTTCCACCTCTACCTGAGATAAAGAAGTAGGGAATGAGCTTAAATCCACCTGCACCTGGAGAATCTGGAGGCTCAGTGCAAGCTCAAAGGCCAGAGCGCCTGAAGCTCTGAGTCCAGGGACAGGAGGAGAGGCTGCCCTGCTCCAGAGAGGGCAGATCCCCCTTTCCTGGGCCTTCATGCTTTGCTGGGGCCCAGCTGCCTGATGGTGCCCATTCACGGAGGGCCGCTCATCCCCACCCAGCCCTGACTTGCACACCAGTCTACTCTGGAAGCATCCTCAGACACAGCTAGAAGGGATGCTTTACCAACCCTCTGGAAAGTCCTTAATCCAGTCAAGTTGACACCTAAATTAACTTGTCCCTGTCCAAAAGGAAACACGCTAAAAGAACTGCTCCTGCCCCTCCCTCCCCCACCAAAACAAAAAAAGAGCAGAACATCAGTGAGTTGGAGGACAGTGACTAGTGAGCTGTAGTTAGAGTTCCCACAGCAGGGGCAAAGGAAATTTGAGGAAATAGCAGCTGAGTATCCTCCCAATTTGATGGACATGAACCACGCCAGCACTGAGTCCTCATCCTAACCAAGCTGAGTGGAGCCAGCTATGAAGGGAAGCTCTTTACAGCTGTGAGCAGCATCTCAAATGCCCCCCAAGGCCAAGTGCTTAAGACTGGTCCCCAGCAGGGACACTACTGGGAGGTGGTGGAGCCTTCAGGAGGTGGGGCCTGGTGGCAGGAAGTAGATCTTCCGTCCACACTGGGTCTGGCTCTGGGTTCAGAGAAGGCAGGTTGGGAGAGCCTGTTCACAAGGAAAGCAGTGCTTCTGACCCCATCATGCTGTCCCCCGATGGTGCCGGCCTCGAGGACTGCACTAGCAGATGCCATAGTCTTCATTTATGAGTTTGTGCATTTTCAAGAAACACCCCCCCTTGCCTTATGAGGTGTGGGCTGAGGCCAGGCACTGGTGAGGGGACAGAGCAGCTTTCATGTACCCTGAGTTCACTCCATCTTCCTCTGTGATACTGCATGCAGCCAGCACTAAAGGATGCAGAGGTTGTTGGGTGGGGGTACTGGCCAGGTGGGCAGCTGTGGCCATTTCTAATGTGCTCCTCTTCCCAAGTGGTCATGATACTGCCGTTTACCGGTGACGAGTTCCGCTTCTTCACATGTTGAAGTATATCATTAGAGAAGCATGCCAAGGCAAGCGTATAAAGCAGGGTTTATTTAAAAAGGGGTAACAGAGACTTCTCCCAGGAGGGAAAAGGGGGCCATTGCTGGTATCCTGGTATCCCCAGAAGTGAAGGTGATTTGCCTTTTTATATGTCCTAGGCTTCCCGCATAGGGCACCTGGAGCCAAGCAGCTCTGATTTCACAATCTGGGTGCCACAAGGTGGACAGCCGCCTCTAATGGTCACACTGGACAGCCGCCTCTAATGGTCACACCAGACAGGCTCCCCAGGACCAAAATAGCAGTCAGATGACTGAAGGGCAAGCTCGCCACTTTCTGCCCAAAGCCAAGCACTCCCAGCAGCAGCAGCAGCAGCAGCAGCTAAAAATAGGCATGAAGGGCACACACCTCGATCAGAACCAGAGAGAAGAATGCTGTCCTGCCTTGGTCTGAGGGCGCCATGAGGTCGCTGCGTTTCATTTCTGCTGAAGCCCTGGTGTCCTACCCCCTGCTGGCCCAGGGGAGCCTGGACAGTGTGGCCCATAACCTCTACCCACTTCTGTTCAAGGCCAGCTACCTGCTGGAGCAGGCAGAAGTGACCCGTGCTGTGCTGGGATGCTGGCCACTGGAGGAGTTCCGGCTGGCTGCATTGTTGGGTCCGAGCACTGACCACCCAGAGGACCTGCGTGACCGAGCCTGCAGGACCTGCCTGGAGGCCTGCGTGCGGGGCCTTGCCGACCACGTGCTGCAGGGTGGGAGCCGCTGGCTGCGGGTGGCAGACCTCACTGGCATTCGAGATGTGCAGGTGCAGCGGTGCCCCTGCAGGAGGGCACTGGGAAGGTGGGGACGCACCGAGCTGCTGGCCAGGACCTGCTGTGAGCTTCAGGCAGAGCCCTGCATGGGCAGGCGCTCCACTGAGGTCTTTGCTGACCTTTTTGTCACTGAAGGTAACTTTGAGGTGGTGGTGCAGGCCCTGCAGCCATCAGGCCCAGCCCCTCTGCAGGTGCGATGTCTGTCCTTCAGGGCGGACAGCCTAAGCCCTGGGCAGCTCCTGCATGTGCTGGGCCTGGCCAAGCCAGGTGAACTGCGCAAGCTGGAGGTGGTTCACAACGTGCGGCTGAATGCTGGGCACGTGCAGCAGCTGCTGGCCCAGGTGGGCTTCCCTCAGCTGGTCTCACTCACCCTGCCCACCAGGGCCTTCGACATACCCCCCACCTCCACGCCGCTTCCCGAGGGTGAGGACTCTCTCCTTTCCTCCATCGCCTGGGAGCTCAGCCAGATGAGCCGGCTCACAGAGCTAAGTGTGGCCTTCTCCACGCTGACCGGGAAGATCCAGACGCTGCTCAGGTGAGTAGAGGAGAGGCCAGGTGAGCACTCTGGGCCCTGGCAAGGCAGGCTGGAGAGGAGCTGAGGAACAGGGATGGGACCTGCTAACTTATAAGGCTACTGGTTCATCTCTTTGGGGTTGCTTTGGCCAAAGCTATAGGAGAGGGACAGGGTTGAGGTAACTATGAGTTAGAGCCACCAGAAAAGAACAGTGCTCTGGGGGGACCTGGGACTGCTTCCAGTTAGCAAGAGAGAACATACTAAGTAGCAAGTAAACAAAGCATAAGAACACCCCCACCTAACAACTTACCTGTTGTGGGACAAATTGCCCGAACCCACCGATGTCATACCAGATCAGGAGTGGGAGTGAGGCTGAGCTGGCCTGTCAGCCATTGGTGCTGCAGTCTCATCTGAAGGTCTGCGGGGGCAATGCTCCTCCTGGATGGCTCACAGGAGGACTGCATGTGCAGCCCTCAGGTAGAGGGGTCAGGGTGCCTCCTTCTGGGCAGCTCTGCTATAGACAGGGGTGCAGGAAAGAAGCCAGGGAGAGACACAGCTGGGGTGGCTTCATGTGCTGTCCCAGGGGCAGGCTCTTGGCAGCAGATCCACCAGGTGTGGGTGGGCAGTGAGAGGTAGCTGTGGCAGGAGGATAGGAAGGAACAAAGAGCAGGAATCGGGTACTGACAGGTTAGGGTCCCAAAAGGGTGAGTGGGCTGAGAATGTGTGTTCTCACAAGTCCCAGGTATGGACGCTGTTCCAGAGACGCCCCTGCAGCTGCTCCTTTGCTGCCACCTACTCCAACTAAATGGAAACTGGTGGTTTAGGAATGCAGAGGCCGTCAGGGTCTCTGGTTTCCCTTCCCAGTTCTAACACCATGCGGATCTGGTTCCTCAGTGAAAGGGTGCTTTCCTGCTTGCTTATTTTTGCTTTTGCTGCCCCTGCTGCCAGCTCTCTGAGCTGCCATTCCCGACAGGACTTCCCTCACAACATGAAAGGGATTGCTGCAGTGTCTGGGTATAGGTGTGGAAAAAGGCCCCCTGCGTAACTGTATGTGCTGGGGATGAACCTAGGGCCTCCTGCATGCTGGGTTGGCACTTACCACTGAACCACACCCCAATCCTAAAGCCTATTCTTTGCCACAAAGCCAAACGGCAGCCATAGGCTAGGTGAGTGAGGAAGCGTGGCAGTGTTCCAGTAAACCTAAATCGCTGTGGACACAGACACTTGAACTTCACGTAATTTCCCTTATCACAAACTCTCTGAATTTTTTCAAGAATTTAATTAAAATCACCAGTTATTCTCAAATGGCAGACGGTATGAAATCAGGCAGCAGCTGGATTTATCCATGGGAGGCAATTTGTGATAGAGAAACAAGTGGATTGTCACCTACTCTTAAACCCCAGCTCACCTGAAACACTGCTGTTACCTGTGCTGCTTTCTGCCTGTCCCTCAGCCCCCTCAGAACCCCACTGCGAGCACTGGACCTGGCTAACTGTGCCCTGAACCACGCCGACATGGCTTTCTTGGCAGACTGTGCACACGCTGCCCACCTGGAAGTGCTGGACCTCAGTGGACACAACCTGGTGCACCTGTACCCCTCAACCTTCTTCAGACTGCTCCGCCGGGCCTCCCAGACACTGAGGGCGCTGACCCTGGAGGAATGCAGCATCGCAGACAGCCACGTGGGCATGCTGATCCTGGGCCTGAGCCCCTGCCGCCAGCTACAGGAGTTCCGGTTCCTAGGGAACCCGCTATCGGCTCGCGCCCTCCAGCGCCTCTTCACCGCGCTCTGCGAGCTGCCTGAGCTGCGGCGTATTGAGTTCCCAGTGCCCAAGGACTGCTACCCCGAAGGCACTGCCTACCCCCAGGACGAGCTGGCCGTGTCCAAATTCGACCAGCAGAAGTACAATGCGATTGCTGAGGAGCTGCATGCGGTGCTGCTGCGGGCCAACCGTGAGGACATCGAGGCCTCCACGCCTGTCTTCGGAAGTTTCGACCCAGACATCCAGGAAACAAGCAATGAGCTCGGCACCTTCTTGCTGCAAGCTTTCAAAACTGCTTTAGAAAACTTTTCCAGAGCACTGAAACAAGTGGAGTAGGCGCTCCACCAGGGCAAGGGCAGTCTTGCATTTCAGCCTGCAGGGTGCCCAGGGCCAGTCCTATTGCCAGAGGCTTGGGCTGCACATTCATCACCAGCATCACCACCAAAAGCAGTTCTTAGTGAAAATGGTAAACAAGCCTGCTAGGTGCCTTAGGAGAGGAAGCCCTGCCTTCAAGATGTGTCATGGGTGCTCCTGGGTCAGGCAGCAGACCCTATAGCAGGCACATGTGGTAGTGAGTGGAGGTGCAATGGGTGCCAGGGCAGGCTGCCATAGGAGCAGGGTCGACTGGACTCTGAGGCAGCAAGAAGAAGGAAACGAGGACTTGTCACAGAACATGTGTAAAGAAAGAAGCAGCCCATAAAACAGCTGAGGAAGAGACTGAAAAGCAAAGATAAACCAAATCTGCGTGCCCGGCAGGAGGCTCACACGGCATGCTAGATGTGTCTGTGGGGCTAGCATGTTGACAAGCCAGGCTTGTTTGCTCAAAACAGGGCCAGGAGCACCCAGCGGCTTCCGGCTGATACAGTAACTCTGTCCTTGCTTTGCTTTGTATCTGAGTGAGTGCTGGCCTCAGCAGTAGGTCAGGACACAGAGTGTGGCATTTATGGATGTCCTCTGGTTTCTCCGGCCCTAACTTTCCCTGAACAGCCAGGCCCCACGCCCATGGCCCTGGGCTCCTTGCCCCTAAGGGGCTGATTGTCACCAGAGGTGGAGTTGGTTTCCACTAAGCTTGGCTCTGTACCAAAGGTTGAGAATTAGAATGATAAGTGCTAATAAAATAAGTGTGGTTACCGAGCCATGGTCCTTATTTCACCGCAATTCAAGACTTTTAAAAGGATTTAAGAGTTTGGAAATAAGATTTTTCCTTGAGGCACAGACAAGAGCTTAGACCCAGTACCACCTGAGCACCACTCCTGGCAGCACTTCCCCCAGGGGCATCTCCATCTCAGGTGCTCTGCAGCCTGGAGCTCCAGGTGTATCCCAGGCTGTTCTTTCTGGTGGGACCCAGCAGGAGAGCTTCGCAGGGTTGCCTGCTGAAGGCGTCCTTCCTCAGGGTCTCAGTGTGAGCTGACACCAAGTGTTCACCCCACCCTACTGTAATCGTTCTCTGCCTGCTTGGCTGTGCCTTACTGGCAAAGGTTCACGCTGGCAGTCTCTTTGCAATCAAGTTTCGGGCACATGGAGTCTGAATTACAGCAAGCTCTTAGAGTAGGCACCACGCAAAATTTTTAAATTACTTAAAAATTCAGACTCTAAAAAGCAGAGTAACTCATTATCTTCAGTGTCTGAATTTTCATGACTACAGACTCAGCCTCTAGTGGCACTGTAACCAATCATGTGCAATGGCTAGCTGGACCAGGAGAGCCCTGTATTTGTGTGGCTGTATGGAGAAGGGCCCAGGGTGTGGCCCATTACCTGGGGAGGGGCAGGCACACAGAAGTCTGCCTCTGCAGGTGAAGTTGCTGGCAGCAAACATTCAGGACAGCACCCCCTCTATGCTGGTCCAAATTTATTCCTAGGCAGCAGTCCAAATGCTCTGAACCTTACATACCTGTCCCCAAGTGTGAGACTCACCTGCTCCTCTGGACCAACTCCACCCCAGCCTGACAGTGCTCTCAGCACCCATGGACTTTGGTCACATCTTCCTCACACTGGGACTTTGCCTGTGGCCACCCGGGATCTACGGTCACATAGCTGGTATCTATCAGGGCCAGCAGCATCTACTGTTTGCAAGGTAAGTGTGTAAATTGGAGTCAGTGCATACACATGGCAGCTGTAGCTGGTGTAGCTCCTGGTGAAGCTCTGGGGGCCACTATCACTTGCCAAGATCCAGCTAGCCTCTCCAGGAAGAGATGGGTGAATGGAACAGGGACACCAGTGAGGACAGCGTGGGGCTCACCTCCTTGCATTCCTAGGTCTCACTGGGGGGTCGGTCATTGCTGTTCCCCTAGGAGTGCAGCAGGGCTTCTTGATGATCATGCTGCAGGGCAGAGGAACAGTTCTGGGAGCTCCAACTTGGCCCTTCCTACCTTAATGGCTGGTTCCATATGTTGGGATACCTGCAAGGGTTCTTTCTTGAGTATACAGAGACAGAGGAGATATCCACAGACCTATGGACCTCTGTCACGGCCAGCTAACTCTATTATGAGGAGTGGAGAGAGCTCTACTTGGCTGTCACTCAACCCTGAACTCCCATGATTACCAGCCTTGGCAGCAGCTCCAGGATAAAGGCACTGGTTACCACTTGGTCCTGATGCTTACCACAGCCACCCCTACCAATCTGCTTCTGCCGGTCTGGAGCCCCATCCTATGGCACCACCAAGCAGAGTCAGCTCTGGCCCCAGAGAGCAGCCCCCTGGCCCAGCCACGTGCCAGAGGCCTCACCAGTAGGGCCAACACCCCATGCTCACCAAGCAAGCTTCTGCAGCCAGGAGACTCCAGCACCCCACTCAGCTGCTGGCCACTGACCAGCCACAAGGGGCCATCCCAGCAGGGTTGGGCTCAGAACCAGGAACTTGAAGAACACTGATGTAGAGTTGTGCATGAGCACCCCAACACAGTACCTCTCTGGCTGACCAGTTCTGTAACCCACATGAGCCGGGCAGGCCCAACAAGGCATACTGGGGGCTCACTCTGCAGGATTCCCAGGTAAAGGAGGTGCTTTCCTGACTGGGGCAGGGCTGCCTGAGCTGACATGAGGGCTCTTGAGTCTGGGATTTCAATTCAGGCTAAGGGACCAAACACCCTACCCAGACCTCAGGCCACCTTGGGCCTGGGAACTGCCCTAATGCCTTTGCTATCCAGTCACTCCAACAGCGAGACCCTTTCCTGCCAGAGGTGGGCAAGGGAGATGAGCTTCCTTCATTGCTGCAGAGCTCTAGGGCTTCTATACCATGCCTTGAGTCATCATAGACTTCCTGTTAACAAAAGCCACATACTCTGTGATCCCTGGCTTTCACTGTCCCCACTCCATTCAAGTGCCACAGCATTGTATAACCCAGGGCTCCCAAACTTCTCTGAAGGCCTGAGTGGGACAGGCAGTATGCCAGTCCAGGATGGGGTATAGCCTTAGGAGCCTTTTGCAGGGAACAGACTGAAGTAGGCAGGTCCCTGAGAGTTGCTCAGGTGCCATTTCTAGCTCCTCCCAAGTCTGAATGGCACTCTCCATTCTTGCCCTGGGTCTGAGACACCCTTAAAGCAAATCCTCTTCTACAAGTCTAAGACAGCTTGAATTAAGCTACTGCTTACAACCAGAATCCTGAGAAATACAGGGACTACTTCATCGAGCCCAGAATAGAGACAGGACCTCTCAAGGAGCAGGCAGAGGGAGTGATCCCAGCTCTGCCCAGCAATCCGTCCTGATCATAGTACAGCAAAGGGCTACCCAGAGAATGAAGGCAGCTGCTTGCTGGAGCATGTTGGGGCTCAGTGTGTTCATCACATCAAACACTGGTGCAACTTAGGCTGCAGCTAGAAAGCCTCCCCCTACTTTAAGCTGACCCAGAAACAGTTACACTCTCCAACTAGACATGCAGTTCTCAAAGAACATGCAGGTTCTCTGGGGAGGCTTTCCCCTGCCACTTGTCTCTGCTGCTGCAATGTCTGCAGAAAGATTTTCTTGTCACCATGAAATTGACACTATATCAGTGGTGCAAAACACACATGCATACATGGAATATGTGACTGAGATACCTCTTTATCTAGGAGCTTTAAAAAGGGGAAGGCCTCTCCACCAAATAAGTTAACTTGATGAAAGTACAAAAGTCTTGTCACTGTGCATTTAGGTTTCAGAAGGTCCAGGCCAATCATTACCTTCTAACTTTGTTCCAAGGCAAAGCAGCCTGCAGTAAGCAAAATGAGAAGCAAGATCCTAATACCCACCCCCCAACCAACTCCTTCCATTTTAAGCCCTGCAACCTCATGTACACTCAACACCCCAGATCAACAGAAAACACTCTGAAGTGATCCTCCCATCCCCCAGGAGCTGGGACCTGTCCACCCAGCCTCTTCCAGAACGTGGGCTCTGTGGGCCTGCCTTACACTTTGATAGCCTCTGTGGCTATCAAAATACTGGGGCACCTGCTGGCTAGGAGAACCACTTGGGTGCTTTTCCTGTTATGAGCATGAGAGCTTCCAAATGTTCTACAGCCTCCGTGGTCTTACAACACCCCTCATCACCACTGCCTGACGACTGCTAAATGGAATCTGGGAAGGAAAAAAAATAATCCTAGAAGACAGAATTTATTTAGGAAAAGTCACAGAAAATTACTTACAGTGAGGATCAATATTATATTTGACCTTTAAAAACAATTTTTACCCTCGAACTAAAATGACATTATACTGTTCTGCTAAATATTAGCAGCTCACAAAATGCTTCAGAGAAAGGCAACCCTTCACAGCTGCTGAGCATCACAGGGAAAACCTTTATGTGCTGAATCCTCACTGCTGCTGAGGGTGGCAAAGCTGGAATGCCACTGAGGGCAGCTGCATGTGGTGGGATGCGGGTAGCAAGCAGAGGGAGTGTGGGAGCTCAGCAGGGAGAATGTCATGAGAAGCAACCGGTGGCCGTGGACACCTCACTCCTCTCACTTCTCTAGTATGGCCTTCTCTACTCTCTTGAACTTCTTCAGCTCCACGACTAGCTCCCAATACTTGAGATATAGCCACATGAGCCTCCCATTCTGGCGTTTGTTGCTATTCCAGATGTCACCACAGTAGGTGTCATGTTTGAATATGTCAGTCAAGCCAGCTGCCATCTCTAGGTCAGCAGCCACTGGGTCGACGGCGGCACGCACCAGTAAGTTCTTCTCCAGCTCCAGCCGTGAGTGGCGGGGGGTGACCAGGCTGCAGTAGATGTTCTGCCTTTCTGCAAGAGCCTCTCCAACCTCCTTCAGCATGAGCTGGGCTTTCCTCTGCCAGTCCTCCTCCTCCTCCAGACGGCTCAGGTACACACTTCTCAGAGGCTGCAGCTGGCTTCTTTCTTGCATTACCTTAGCCCATTCCCGTTCCAGAAGTTTCTTTTCTTCCACCAACTTCCGCCCCTGAGAGATAAGGGCTTCACGGTAACTAGTTGTTCTGTTTTGCTCCTTTTCAAGTTCCAGAGACAGCTGAGCAACAGCACGCCGATTTTCCGAGATCACAGCATGGTACTTGGCTTCAAGATCCTGCTGGAAGGCAACTGTTCTCTGGCGATAGGCTTCTCTCTCTTTTGCTATTTCTTTTTGGGACTCTCGGGACCAAATCCAACCTGACATGAATAAATTGAAGGAGAAAAAGATACATAGTGAAGAGTCACAGCAGAGATTCAATGAATGATCTTTACTCAAAGGAAACAACATATAAAGATAGCCCTTGACTTACAGCCTAAGACCCAAGACCATACATTCTGCAGGAATGGCAAAGCTCTTACCCCCAAATCAGACCAGGACTGAAGGCTGAGCATGCAGGGTCCACACATCTAACTCCTATGGCCAAGAAAATCTACCACTGCTTCCCTTGCCACTAACCCCACCACTGTCTGCCAGCTCTGGTCTCAGTGTCCCACAGACTATCAGCAAGATATAAAAAGTTAACATGGGAGGCCGGGTATGGTGGCACAAACCTGTAATCCCAGCAGCTTGGGAGAGGGAGGCAGGAGGATTGCAAGTTTGAAGCCAGCCTCAGCAAAAAGCAAGATGCTAAGCAACTCAGTTGAGTCCCTGTCTCTAAATAAAATACAAAAAAGGGCTGGGGATGTGGCTCAGTGGTCGAGTGCCCCTGGGTTCAATCCCCAGTATGCCACAAAACAGTTGTGT